ATCACCATCATCATCATCATCATCATCACCACCACCATCATCATCATCATCATCATCACCACCATCATCATCACCATCATCATCATCATCATCATCATCATCATCATCATCATCACCACCATCATCATTAACCCATGAGAATCGTGGGGGACCAGAACGCGCCATTCATTCATTCACGAGTAGGGGGGAAGTGAATCGGCCCATTCAGATACCCGCAGCAGCCAGGCCCGGCCACAGGGAGCAGCCAACGCAAATTCAGCCCGCGAGATACACACAGGGCCCACCACATCGTGTGTGTTACAGAAGAAAAACAATGGCAACATATTTTCAGATGAGATACTTTCTCAAACCATTAAGTAGACAATTATAACAATTCAGCATTGAAAAACATTCCAGATTTTTATTCCCCCTTCATGAATGAGGTGCTTTAAAACATTTTATGTGCTGTGGATATCAAAACTAACATTATGTCTTGAGTAAGAACCCTCTTATTATGTCATATTAGCATAATAATTTCACCCAACATTCTTCTGGTCATTCATTCAGACTATACTGGAAATGAGGAACTCCCAGTGCAAATAACAAGAAAGAAGGCACAGGAAGCAGACAGTTGCCATGGCAACGAGAGGCAGACAGTGGTCATACCGAGTCAGAGTGATGGTGCGAGCGACGGTGCCGGTGTCTGTGCCGGCTGCTCCGCCTGCTGTTGCCAGAGCATTTGCTGTAATGGTGCCAGTCTCGGTCACGCTCCCGGCCCCGGTCTCTATCACGGCACCTGGATCTGTCCCGGTCTCGGTCTCTCTCTTTGTCTTTACAAGCACCTCGGCTGTCATCCTCATGGTCTCTGAATACAGCTCGCCTGTCTTTAGCTTCCAGCCTTTCATTTGAGCTCCTTGTCACAAGGTAATGCCTATTAAGAAAATGCAGCTTTTTTTAACAATAATAAAAAGAAATAATTTGACATATACATGCAAATCTACAAAATAAAATGTATCTTTTTCTTTAGTTCCCAGTCTATTATTTGTGCTCCATAAATCAGTACATACTGACTGATTCACATTGGACTGAAGATTATAAAAATCACTCTAGCTATTGTTTTCTATCCGGTGTCTTTATGAGTGAAATTAGGAAAAGTAAATATTTATATACTTTATTTCAATTTATGACAAAAATATATTTCAGCCAACCCTCTACTAGGGCTGGACGATATGGCCAAAATTTATATCACGGTATATTTCTTAATTTCGAAAAAAACATTAAAAATCTTACTGTTCAAAAACTTTTGACTGGTAATGTAGGACGGCTGATTATTGTTATAGATTGAAACAAATGTGCTTCAGCCAGGATAAAGAATATGAAAAGTGCTCTGAGTTGCGGCAGAAAAAAAAGAGCAACAACAAAAACATGCTGCTAGACACGGGCTTATTGAAAATGCAAACTGATTGTCTGCCAGTTGCGCCTTCACACTCGAATTTACGGTACGTTAAACACAGGTGCGCTGCGCATCCATTGAGATGAACTGAAAAACAGCACAGATCGCTTGGCGGAGAGTGAAACTCTGAAGCGCTCAGTCAGAGAGTGTTCGGCGAGTGAAAATATATCTGTGCTAATCATATACTCAGCCTCCAACTCACACTGGCGAGTCAAATCTGAGAATGTATTAGCCATTGGCTAATGTTAGACATCATTTAGTCGCCAGAGTGAAGATTTAGTCGCATATGCGAGTGATTTACTCGCAATGTAGAGGGTTGTCAGCACATATAAAAAGACATTGCTGGAAAGTTTAAGCATCAAAAGAAAAACAAAATCAAAACAAAAACAGTTTAATACAGCCTTAAATTGTTTTTTATTTTCTACATTAAAATGCATCCTGTTTATTTTATTTTCTGTGAGCAAAAAATAATGTCTATAATGTATTTTTACCATGATTTACACAAAACAACCAATTAAATGTCACTCACGATAGCTCATACAGCAAAAACTCTTGTCAGGCATATTTAGAACAAAAATCATTAAATTACATTAAAAGACTCCAATTAAGGATCACATTGCAGCCCCCAAAAAACTTATTAATTGTAATTTTAAATCTTTACTAATCTTTGCCACTATCCTTCAAACCACTAGGTCTTACCCATTCATCAACAAGAAGTTAATCATTTAAAATAGTCAAATTTAGTATGCCCATTTTTGCTTTTATATTCTTTAATAAGCATAGGCCAGAATAAGAACGTTATTTACTTTTTACGTAAATATATCTATTATGCTGAATGATGACATTATTTCGACATTTCATTTTCACAAGTTATTTAAAAAAGACACTTTACTTGCATGCATTTAATATACTTTCAATGTATATAAAATTATTTTTGTAAATGTAACTTGATGCGGACACTAGGCCTGTCGCGATAATTAAATAACCGTCTAATCACGATTATTTGATCTAACCGCGGTTGTTTCAGACAATCGCAATTATTGTGCATTTTATACGGCACAAGGGGGAGTCATACACCAAAAGAAACAGAAGAGCGCCAGTTTGCTTTTCATGCACTGTATAGCCTATATCATCTGAAGCTATTCCATATCTTAATGTGAGGGACAGAATTATATTTACATTGTTAAATGTAAATTTACAGAAATTGATCTTTCTTCTGCTGCAGCTGTCAGTTATTCTCTGCTCAGCATTCAAACAGCACGTCACGTTCAGTTATGACAGTCAGCACAGTAAAACTCTCTCTCCAAAATGATATATTCCCATTATAATACTTGATGTGTAGATAAAGGTCTGGGGATTCACATAAAATGACATATTGCTGGAGTTCATTGCTCTCTCATTTCTCTTCTCTTTGTTTGAACCGTGTGGAGTGCAGCGCGCTGTGACTTATGTTGCTTCAAGCACATCATTCTGCACCCTAGATGTGCATAAGAGCTTTGTGCCGCTCTGTTTGAAGCGTTTCACATTATCAAAGTTTTTCACACAGAAAGATTATTAGAAGCTTTTATTTTTCTCATGATTTCTATCTTATTTTCATGAATGTATTTTGTAAGAATACAAATAGTTAACAGAATAAACATTTAAATTGTATAATGTGCACCAAAGATTTTTTTTTCCAAGATATTATTTTTGCTGCTAAATTATAGTCAGCTAGTTTAATTTCATAGCTTATATATTTTATTCAAATGTAGTTTTTCTCTGTAATGAGGAAGTGAGTATTTAGTGGATTGTGTTTAACAAAGGGTTTAAAAAAAGAGTGACCATTAGTTCCACAAAAAGTATTGATATTCTGAAGTGGTGTAAAAAAAAAAATAGCGCTGGTTTTGGATAGTATTGGCCAGTTCTTAGAATTTGGAATACTCTATGTAATCTTACACTGCAAAATAATAACTCAAAAAAGATAACATCATAATTATTTACTGAATCCTTCAATTAATCTCAATTATATAATGAAAGCCATAAAAAAAAAAAAAAAAAGACAATTCGGCTAATCGTGATAATCGGCATAATCGCCAAAGCCCTAAAACAGACAATTAATCACAATAACCGTGACTACTTTTAGACAATTAATCGTCAGCTAAATTTCATAATCGTGACAGCCCTAGCGGACACCAAAATGGGACCTCTTGTCTTTCTTTAGTTTCCAGTCTTTCATTTGAGCTCCTTGTCTCAAAGTAATGTCTATGAAGAGAATACAAAAAAAAAAATCTATAGGTACTGACTTATTTGCATTGGGCTAAAGATTATGAACATCACCAAAGCTATTGTTTTCTAGTCAGAGATTCTTAACAAAATTATGTAAAGAAAACGTCATAAAAGAACAAAAAAAAAAAAACATTTTTAGCACATATAAAATACATTGCTAAAAATAAAAAGTATCTTTTCTGGGGTGGAAACATTTGACAGAAAACATATAACGTTATAATGCTGAGACCCTGATTTGTTGACAATCCAGGCAAATTCCAAATGTTCTCTGTAATGGCAAATAAAATGATCTGGATCCAAGTTATTAGCTTAAAGTGAGGCACTAACAGATGACTTAAATCACGTCTAAATGGATGAGACTGACATATTGAGGTGAAGTCATCAAAAGTTTTCCAGGAAGCTTCCAAGAAGGTGGCAAACTTGTCAAACAAGTATTATACAACACACTGCCAGATGATGTCCACTTAAGGCTCAGTGGACCCTGGCCAAAGATCAGACATCCCTTAAATTAGTAACTTGCTGGGTAACTAATATTAGTATAAGATGCCTTATACAATTTGTTGATTTAAAAGGACTCAGAATAGATACAAGAAATTACAGAATATTTCTCACCCTTCGCTGTTCTTGCGGTGATGGTGTTTTTTTCTGTATTTATTTTCTCTCTCGCTGCTGTGCGAGTCTCGTCTGTGTCTCTTTCTGTTCTCCATTCTCTCCTCCAGACTCACCTCTCTCAGCCAGAGAGAGCGCAATCTTATCGGTCTCATCTGATAAAACAAGCATAATACAAATAAATAACATTTATATTAAGTACACATACTATATCCACGGAATCTGTATTATAGGGCAGGATCCACAAATACAGTGTCCTCTTTGTTCTAACACCTCGTGTCATCGAAGTGTTTGCCCGATGCAAATTATTCTCTTTAGGAAGTCTAAAAATGGTTAGAAGATAACAATAAATGAAACCCATTTAGACAATAAAATGCATTTTGTGAGACTTACTGCACGGTTAAGATTAATAAAACACACAGCAAGTTAGTAGCGACGTCGTTAACGCGTTTAGGTGATAAAATAAAAAGAAGCTACTACATTGTGTGAGTGAAGTAATTAGCGAATACGTAAATCATTACTTTACCTGGCTTAAGAAAGTCCTCTAAATAATAGCAGTACTCGATGATAAACGAATTTATTTCCTCCGTCTTCTCTGTTGTCGTTGGTGTGGTTCAAAATGGCGTCCGTCGAGCTGGAACGTTCGAGAACTAGTCCGTTACGTCATCTGATCTTCTTCTAATAACGTTTTATGGCGGATGGCAAACCAACTTCTGGTGCATTTACCGCCACCAACTGGACTGGAGTGTGGAGCACTAATAAGCAACTAATATATACATATTTATATTTATCTATATTTTATATACAAAAATAAAAATTAAAAATTAAAAAAAAACACACACATTCCTAAATTCTCCTGATTCTCTCCGTTCTGCTTTCTGTTTGAGCAGAACAATTTACCACTTCAGCCATAAATGAAACAAATTCCATTTTCCCGATCACCAAACTATCCTCTTTTGTCTTTCTCTGAGCCACAGTATTCCCAGTCCATTCATGTATTTTTACGTCATCGGATCTGGGGCGCGCGAGAAACTAGTGCTGGGCTGTGTACTATGGAAGGCGGTTAAGGCCAAAAGTCTTTAAACGGAACGCGTGAAATGCAACGTGTCAACAGGCACAATTTGCCCGCGTTAACGCGGCAATTTTGACCGCGTTTCTGTTGTACGTGTAGACACGCACGTTTTGGCCGCGTTAAGGCGTCAGTTTTTGCCGCGTTTATTTGGTACGTGTAGACACGCACAGTTTGACCGCGTTAAGACGACAAATTTGAACGTGTTTCTCAACGCACACATTCTAGCTGTGTTAAGGCTGATTTATACTTCTGCGTCGAACCTACGCCGTAGCTTACGCATAGACGCACACACATACGCCGTAGCCTGACGTGCACCTCTCCAAAAATCTAACAGCGCGTCAATTCTACGCAGACCGCAAGCGCTGTGATTGGTCTGCAAGAACCCCTCCCTCCATATGTACTTGAGTTTTGTGTGTGTTTATGTGCACTTTAATATATTTTAATGTTACACCTTCTCATATTAAATAAAACAAAGCAAAGAACAAGTGTCTTATCATTTATTATACTACATAGCATTATACATCAGTAGTTGTCCGCAACAAACAATGTTGATCTGCCACGTTGACGCGGACAACGACGCAGAAGTATAAATGAAAACTGATAACGCATAGCCTACGGCGTCCGACGCAGAAGTATAAATCAGCCTTCAAGGTGGCAATTCTGAACTTGTAATATTTTTTAAGGCATTAAAATCTATTTACCCTCATATTAATACTTTCTTTAGTTTATGGTGTCATTAAGTAGGCCTAGTGCTGTAGCTAGTAAATTAATAAATGTAATGAGATGTAAAGAGTTTTGTTGTTTATCTTCTTTTTATAGGTTACTCTTAGCCTACTCCCAGGTCCATGTACCTTCAGGTCATTTGAACAGAAATTAAGCTAGATTTTTCTCTTTTTTCATGGGTTAAAAATTAGAATAAGCTTTAATATTTTAATATATATATATATATATATTATGCTTTAATATTGGTTTTGAATGTGTGAGTGGCTCTGAAACACCTTGTACACGTGTACGCCCCTTCAGTTCATAATTCCAAAGTATAGACTATAATTGGGCCTTAAGACTTTGCAGTAGACTAATTATTATTGCGAAAACGTAAGTAGGCCTAAAGTTTTATTATAAATTATTAATAAAAATAAATATTAGTTATTTTTATGTGGGGTTTGGCTTTTCCCATGAAACACAAACTGTTATTATGTAAGTCTTTTTTACATAATAACAGTTAAAACTTTTAAAAGTTTTTGTTGTTTGCAATAGCAAATGAAAATATTACCGGTGAGGTTTTTCTTGAACAGGTTTAGAATAAAATGAGTAGGCTAAAATCACCAACCACGTCCATCATATTTTATTCCACGTCGTTTTAGATCACATACACATTTTAGTCCTCCCCTTATTAATTCCTGACCTGCACCGCATGATCTAAATAGGCCTAGCTATTTTTTCTCCACGCGTTCAAATATTAGTAGGCTACTACAATTTATGAATTACAGAGTCAGATTATAGGGTAGAGTGGGGGGAAACGCCCCCCTTAAGGACCGTGTAATTTTTTTCTGTGAAATAAAAATTAAATGTAGGCTATTAAGAAAAGTTATAATAGTTTTAGTGACAATGACATAAATTATAAACAAAGTATGAAAAATGTCCAGAGTTTTCATGTTATTAGATTTTTAACAAAAATTAAATTTGTGCCAAGTCTGACAAAGCAATGTGCTTTAAACATTTACTGCAAAATCAGAGTACAGGCAGTTTTAGCTTAAAATGTAAAAGAATATAATCAATAATTATGAATTACAAAATTATAATAGCCTATTTGAGGTATATAGGATGCTAACTTGAGGTAATTTTTAAATATGAAATCCAAATATTTTTATTCAACAAACTAGTTAGAATACATTTGATTGAAAAACAAAGGATCTGATGTTCAGAACAGAATAACTACAGTAATTTATTTGTGTATAAATTGTGTATTTGTGTCTCCAAGCACATTTTAGAAAGTAACAATGAATCGTCACAAAAAAACAAACAAAAAAAAAGGAATCGTGACGTAAATTTTAGATATCACGAAAAAAATTATGATTTCACTCCCAAGAAAACGAATTCTTTTTCCATCAGAAGTGGCTGAGCAACGGTATGCACTCCTCCACATATGCTCCATAAGCTACTCCTGGACTCAGACACACAACTCGCACCACCTTGAGACCGACGCCGTCCAGCCACTAGAGTTAAGCCAATAAAGAGATTGCTTGTAGAACAAATAATTTTGTTTTTTTAGTATTTAGCCTACTTAGGCCCTGGGCAAATGCAGGCTTTTCCGGCAGAAAAACATAATAGGCCTAAGTAGGCCTGTTATTTATATATTTATATTATAAAATAAGTATTATTATCAGTGTCGTAAGTTTGTCTTAAAAGTGGTGGGGAGGGTTACATCTGCTTTAAATATAAATAATATTATTAATATTATTATCTACAAATTATTAAACTTTTATATTTATAAATATCATTACAGAAATATAAATATTTTATTAATTTTTATGTCTAAGTATATGTATATTCAGTTATAATATGTTCTGTGTAAAGTTATATATACTTTCAAAAATGATAGGCCTATGTAACTTCAATAACATAAATATATGTCATAATTAATAATTGTACAATATGGATTTCAGGAATTATAATGATCTGGATTGAATGATTTGTGATTTATCACAAATGGTTTATATGTTTCTTTATTCATTCTAGGGTTGACATTGCACTGTCTGTTAATTTAAACTGAACATTTGCTATAAATCACCTTTGTGTACATAGTGCTATTTACTTATATTTATAAATATCATTACAGAAATATAAATATTTTATTAATTTTTATGTCTAAGTATATGTATATTCAGTTATAATATGTTCTGTGTAAAGTTATATATACTTTCAAAAATGATAGGCCTATATAACTTAAAACAAACATTCAATAACATAAATAGATGTTACAGTTAATAATAGTACAATATGGATTATTAGCATTTACTTAATATGACATTTAATTTAACATTTATTAATTGACTCTAGCACAGTAGATATAAGTAAAGCAATGCTAACAAAATGAATATGTGGTTTAACGCGGGCAAATTGTGCGTGTTGACACGGTCGCATTTCACGCGTTCCGTTTAAAGACTTTTGGCGCCTTCCGTCTTCTATAGTGTGCTGTAAACTGTACGTTGACCTGATTCTTAAACAAGTAAACAAGAGGAACATCTAGCCTAAACATTACACGAGATGTTGTGCCTTAAAAATAAGGGTAACCCTAACCCGTAGTTTATTTTCTATTCTTTCTTTGTGTTTTTTGAAAAACATTATGAATTTATTGCATTGAATTAAAGAAATTACTTGTTCCTTGCCCTTTGTATTTTTTTTATTTACTACCACCTATAATTGTCTCAGCTCTGTGCTATAGTATTATATTTTATTGCTATATTATATTATATATATATATATATATAGTGTGTGTGTGTGTGTGTGTGTGTACTTGTTTATGCTACATTAATTTGTAGCATAAACAAGTATATATGACCAAATATCCCCATTCCCCACAAGGATAGTAAACCCTGAAATTTTTGACATTGTGGGGACCGACCTGCGGTGTGCCTGTTAGCTAAAAATCATGATGAACATTAATTTAACCAACACTTTACTCATATATCATAGAATCAATAAAATTATTATATATTATTATTTACATATGTATATTAATAGGCTATATTAACATTTTATTAATATTTCAAGTATGGTAGGCTATTTTGAGCAGTCTATATTTAAACAATACTATAGTATTTTAACTATAACAAGAAAAAAAGAAAACATTATTATTTTTTATTGTATTGTTTGTGTAATTTAACCAGTTGTCATTTGTTTACTGGTTCACTGTATATTTATCTTGGAGTTGCTCATGTTAATATGCATATATTCAGGGATGGGCAGTATTTATGATGCATGTATTTCAAATATAAAATAGAATTTTGTCATTTGTATTTGATAGGGTTGATGAAAATGGCTTCATATTTTGTATCAAAATACTTTAGTGTTTTGTATTTTTGTAGTTTTAAAATACTGTAAAATGTCTACACGATGACATCATAAAAATGTGGCCTCTAATTGGTGCCTACTCAGTAGTTTGACCAGACTTGTTACTACACTATTAATGTGTCCTCTACTTCTTTGGCTCTCAATAGATTCAGTGGTTGGAGTTGGGTTAATACTCCTACTTTCTGATTACGTTTCTGGCTACATTTAAAATCAAAACATATTGATCATTTAATAATTGTTGAAATGCTAAAATGTTTGTTTTCAACTTCCGAATAGGTGTCCAATGATTGATAAATAAATATTTGATTGCTGAATATTGTACCCTAATTGAAGTAGCTGTTTAGTAGGATCATGATATTGACTGCCTGACACAGTATATTTTTATATTTATGATTAACAGTCAAATGATTAATAAGTTAGAAACTAGTTGCTATGAATACAGGTGCCATCCTTTGTCTTCTTATGAATGACTTGTTTATCATTGAATCAGTGTTGCTGATGCAAAGTATAGGTCTAA